ATCGTCGTTCTCCTGTATCATGTTCATAAGCACATCTATCTGGCTTTGTAACATAGCATTTTGTCTCTCTACATCGGCACGCTTGCTTCTTTCTTCTAGCAGCTGTATTTGCAGATGTTCCAGACATTGAGCATCTGCTTCTAACTGTTCGTTCAGACCATCTATTTCACGATCCTGCAGCATTATCACATGCTTAGTGTTTCAATTGAATATAAACTGCGCAAGACGAAAACTTGATCAAGGGATTGCGAAAAACAGAACAAGATTGGAGAGAAAATGGTCATTTTGAGAACAGCACCTTTCTGTTCATTTCCTGTAGAGCGATTCTTCGCATACTTTCAACAACATCCACATTTACAAGCTTCCGTTTCTTTCCAGCAAGCCAACCTTTAGGGTAACATGCAGCATCAAAGTCTGGCGGAGGGAGCAAAGATTCAGCTAACGGCCTTCGTCCATTTGCATTCATAACCGGTTCCAATGGTTCAAATAATGCCTTTCTACGCTCGGAAAGTTCAGTAGAGGGGTTGGAATCCTGCATCTTTTCATCAGTTGAAGACTCTTCTTGTTTTTGAGGTGTTTCATCAGCTTTAGCAGTCACTTGGTTGTCCAAGTTCTTCCCACTGGCTACTAGGTGAAGTATTTTCTTAGCATGACACAGGTATTATACAAAATGTGAATTGTGTAATGATTCCGCGTATAGTCATTACTCTATTATCTTTGCAAAGCATGACATGCAACAGGACTTTCGACAAAAACAGCACAACTATAGTATGTTCAGAAGTTGTTGACCGGTTCAAATTCAAAGATCAACCGTGGGCATGATTAGAACTTAGAAGTTCGCTATATAATTGAAACCACTAAACTAAAACTGACAGGGTTTATAGAGGTCACATGATGTGGAAGGACATTAATTTCTCTTCTGTTTCAGCCACTCTCATGTACATAAACAATTCCTTATGCAATCAGATGCTACTATTATAGCAATTTTAAGAGTCAATTACTCAAATGGTTACTGAACTATCCCAAATTATCTCCTAAAGTCACTTTTCTTCCGTTTGTAACAACAAAGTTACTGAACTATGTCTATTGCACGCAGAAAGTCACTCAACTAGATTTTCTAAATTTTTGGATTGTCAAATACCTATTTTACCCTCTAAATTATAAACATTTATCTTCTTTTTATTTATTTTTTAAAACTTTTTAATATTATGATTTTTCTGCTTTTTTATTTACATTATGGACTTACCTATAGAATAAATAAATATTATTTATAAATTTAAAAAATAAAAAGTATTTAAGCATATATAATGCTAGAATAACAAAATAATGAGCGTCGTAAAAAAATTAATTAGAATAATTTGTTAGTAATAATAATTTTAGTATTAACAACAAAAATTCAAAAATTTATTTACACAATTCAGAATGAAAGAAAATAAAGGTTGTATATTAAATAAAGGTTGTAAAATATATATTTCATGCACGTAATATAAAAATAATTATTTAAATATTTCCATACAAAGTTCAAGAGTTCATCTACCACTAATCTTCTCCAGTTGATCCGGGAAGAAATAAGACTGCTATTTGACAATCATTCTTGAAAAAACTATCAGGGTGTCATTTAATAAAAAGATCCAAGTAATTTAGCTGAAACTTTCTTATTTTTTATTTGGAGAATTCTTCTCATGTCTTTCTAAAGCTAGGTAAGTCATTATATTGTTGAAGGTATCTCCAAGAATATCTAAATAATTAAAAGGGTCCACTAAGGGAAAAACAACATGCGTACAAAACAAAAATTTACAAAACTCAACAATGCAGGACCAAGTCATCATAGAATAGATCCGTGTGAAAAAGATTAGTCTTTTAAAAACAAAAATACAATTAGAGGAATTTGCTGCAGTTTATACAGGGAAATTCCTTAGCGCTAAGGTGAAAATTCGCAGAAGAAACATGTAATGAATTTATTAGGACACGAGTGCCAATTCATCACGACAAAGACAACCAAAAACAATTAAAATCAAAATTATTAATGCCAATAAGCTAATTTTCAAAATTTGATTTTTATTCAAAGCTCAAGCTTTGTAATTAGCTATAATATAGAAATGACGATTGACGTGTCGGCAAAGTCGCCACCAAATCTTGCTAATGTTGTACGAAACCTACACCTAACCTCTAATGTCCCAAACTACCCCTTTTACCGGAAAAAAGGAAAGAACATGAATTAACGAAAAACTTATGCAGAGGAAAATGCAAAGAAGTAATCCTAATAGAGAAGATATCATTTTCCTAACATAACCAGAGAGAGAGAGAGAGAGAGAGATCTAGTGTTCTGCATGCAACTCACAGAGAACTTAGCACAAATTTTCGACAAATTCCGTCTTAAATGAATATAAATACGCGCAATCAACATGTTTATTAGTAGTTTAATTGATCTTAAATTACTAGTCGACGGAGAAAAAAATTAAGAGCAAGGTCTGAGAGAAGTACCAGATCGTTTTCTAGACTTCCAGAAGACAGGAGTGGTATTAACAGGTGAAAATCCCTCCAAAATCCCCTCCATCTTCAGCTTCGGTTCCTCCATAAAACACCTTTCAACTTTCAAAATCTCATAAAAAACAGAGAGATGAATAAATAAAACACTAATTTTCTTTTAATTCTACAGTTCTATGAGCTATGAAGAGAGAGAGAGAGAGAGAGAATCGATAGCGTAGGAGTTGAACCTAGTCTGGTTGTCGTTGTATGTGTGAGGAAGAAGCGTTATTACCCACCTATTTCATCACACAACAAATATTGAGGCCTTTTTTGACAAGTAAACAAGATATGGTTAGAAAGAAGCATAGACGATGACGAAATCATCAAGCCAAATCAACGGACCTGATTTTGTTGTTCTTTTGTTTTTTACGGTGATGTTTGTTTTTCTTGTTTTGTGTTCCTATCCATGCCGGATCCCACCCTATTTTTTGCCGAACTTAAATTATTAATTTTTCTTGTTGGGAAAAATGCACCTGGGTTGTTGTGATTTCTCTAAAAAAAATACCCGCGGTCAAACGGTCTAAGAATTTAATAACAAAAGGATAGATGGCAAACATATCTTTTAGCCGTAGCTAAAATTATTTATATTCGTAATTATAAAAGTATATAAAATTTATATATTTTTTATATAATATATATATATATATACACAAAAAATACATAAAAAAAAATATATTTTTTCGGCTATTTCTTTTAGAGTAACTATACGGTAGTATTGTTTTTCTAAAAAGGATATACGGGTTCGGGCTGAATGTTAGCCCAAAGCTAATGGGTTAGGCCTGCTTATTCTCTTTATTATTTGAATTATGTTTCCAAATTAACAAGTTGATGTTTTATAAATCATATCATACTATATTATAAGTAAGAAATTTTTAGGTGAAGTTATTTTACCAAAATATTCTTCAAAAGTTAATTGACCAAATTACCCTTCACATAAAGCCTTTCTCCTTAGCTATCATTATTTATTCTTTAAACCACTAAATTTGTAGATATACGCACCAAAGTAAAATTAACAATTTAGTTATGTAATCTGAATTAATGTGACTACATGAGAAAAAAATGAAGAGACTAATTAATTGCATTAATAGGTGTTCAATTCGTTTATTTTGATGGGGTTGTATGTAAAGCGTATATATTACTGATTATTTAACTTCTCATTTCCTAAAGCATGGTTATTTAATTTCTTAGATTACTCTAAATATGATTCTTGGCCTATAAATACATTTTTTGAGAGATAAATGCCTTGGTAACTTAAAAAGTTGTGGCATCAGTGATTGGAGTTGTGCACGGAGATGATAAGTGGACATAGAGTTCTCCTCAAGTATATTTAAAGATCAATCTAACTTTATCTAATATCGTGAGTGGATTGGCATCTCCAGTATAGCAGATTTGTAGGGTATAAAACTTTTTATTTTTATCTTTCCTTCAGATTAACAACTTGTAGGCTTAGGTTTGGCAGCTTGCATTCAAACTGCTCATTGTAGTTTTTCTCCTTTTTTGTAATTATTGTCATTTCAATTTTGAATTGTTCTCCTGGTTTATTTTATTGTTGAAGCCTTAAGCTATTATTCCTTGTGTAAGGTTTTAAAGGATCTTTTCCCATGTATTCATCATGATTTTGAACGTGAGTGAATTTTCAAAATGCACCAGCAATTGTTTTACTTTTTTGTTGCAACTTGTTTATGTTACAAACTGAAATTCATTTATTTTATCATCTCCATTTTCTTCACTACAAGAATTTATAAAATTTTGAAGAAATTCTAGCATTTATACACAAAGTTATATTTCAAGAATAACATGCTCTAGCAGTTGGAGTCTAAGTTGCAATTGTAATGTGGATTCAATATTAGCTGTGGGTATTTGGGGATCCATACTCATCTCTATCATCTTCCTTTAAATATTTAGCTAAATAGGATCCATATTCATAGTGCTTATAATTTTTCCTTGAATTTCATTTTACGACTCAAATATATATTTTAATAATATTTATGTAATATTTTTAAAATTTTATATTAATTGATAATACAGTCCAAAAATTAGTATCCTAAAAGAAAGAAAAGCCTATGAATTAAGTTCTAATTATGTCGGTGCTTTTGCTATAGGTCCTACATTTTCAAGGTTCTATAAGAGAATTGTATGCTAGTAAAGCTATAAAAAGAGGAACATCTAATGCCAATAGCATATTCTCTATAGACGAATCAATAGTATACCTGCACATGGCAACATGTCAAATTTCCCACCAGTTTACTTTGAATTGCTGTATTATTAAGTACGTAAATAAATGTGCTTATGTTATGGTTTTTCAGTGCTATTTGTACATCATGTCCCTTTACAATTTTAAATTTAAGAAAGTGACCTTTTTAGATCTCTTATGTGTAAAAGTAAATATTCTCTGTGTAAAAAAAGATGTAGGACCATAAAACTAAAGACAAGTTAGTAAAGAGCCACAAAACCAATTGACTCGAGGGATGGAAGGTGTTGAAGAATTAAAAATAAGAAGTCCAACATAGAAACAAAGGACTATAACCCGATCCTAAGAAAATATGAGTTCCCACTTGAATGTAGGGGTAGAAACAGAGACAGTGGTTCAAATACCTCCTCATTGTAGAACCGATCCTCGTCAGAGTGACTTGCGGTGAGTTATCCACCAGAATCCACAGGAGTAGAAATCTAATGGATAGTACTCCTAATGAATAAATTAGATGTCATTGTTGACGAGATCAGTTGTAACTTGGATACAACAACAACAAAACCCAATATAAACCCACAAATGAAATCTAGGAGGGTAGTGTACGCATTGCCTTACCTCTACCTGATGAAGGTAGAGAAACTATTTTTGATAGACCCTCGGCTCGAGAAAACAGCTGTAAGTTGGATGTTCAGTTTAATAGTTGTGTCATTCACAGGGGTCAAAACCTGAGGTTCTATGTAACTTTACATAATGGGGATAATCTCTACCCATGGGGCTCTATTGTCACCACCTCCTATATGTACAGTTCCACGAACTATACCCTAATCCTGTTCACACCCTTTACAAAAAGTTGGGAGCCCTTTCATTGTCTTTTGCAATGTCAAATTACAAAATTTAAGCCCCACTCCCGTCCCAAAAGAATTTGAGGAAACAGATCATATCATGTTTCACCTAAAGCGCAAGGAATGCAAGGAGGAATTTTTGACTGGTCTTCTGGGGTGATAATCTGCAGACAATGGTCATGAAATACGTGTCCACAGGGAAGAACAGCAACAGCTGGTGGAACAGCGGGCCGAGACACAGGGCCTTCGGGGTTGAATGCCACATCCCTCTTGCACAACAGGCACTTTTCTCCAATGGGTTGTTGAGCCGATTCTTCAGAATCTGCTAAAATTTTCCAACATTACAATGCTGTTTCAACAGTAACATTAAGCAGTAAAATGGGTACAATGGGTACAATGCTATTTTTTTTGAACTGTAAGTTTGTAGGAGAACCCTTGAATAGAATGTTTGTAATAGAAACAAGGCATTGTGGACAGCCATACACACAGCCTGATTGATAAACCATAGAAGAGAAATGACATAAAAATAGATGGTGGAGTACATTACACACTCAGCACATTATACACCAAAGATCTACACCCATACAGCACATATAATTGATTGACTATTATACACCAAAGAACAACACCCATATAGATCCAACATGATATGGGTGTGGACAGTGGTGGAGCCAGAATTTTCACTAAGAGAAGTCAAAATATAAAGAAGTAAATACACGAAGAAGACAAGGGGATTCAACATATAAATATAAACATGAACCTAAAAATTTCCGACGAAGGGACACCCCTTGGACAAGGTTGCCTCCGCCAGTGGGTGTGGAATACATACCAGATTTGCTAAATTCACATAGAGTGTGTTGCCCACAACTATAATGGAGAAACATAGGGTAGTTGTTTTTTTGTCGTCGCCTTTTGTGTGTGTGTATTCACATAGAGTACTAGAAAACTATCATCTAATAAGATACACTTACGGGATAAGATATTAGATACTCCCACCATTTTAATTTATGTGAACCTATTTGACCGGGATAAGAAAAAGAGAAGACTTTTGAAACTTGTGGTTGTAAACATGCTATAACATTTCTGAGGTTATAAATATTTTGAAACTTATAGTGTACAACATGACCTATCATTTGTGTGGCTGTGAAAGCTTCTCATTACGAGTAATATTGAAATCCTAAATTAAAAGTTTCTATATTAGAAAGAGTTCATTCTTTTCGAAACTGACTAAAAAAAAAAACATAAGTTCACATAAATTGAAAAAGATGGAGTATTTATTAAGAATATATTCAACAATATGTCTTGGTTTAGTGACTTCTCTGTTTAACTACTAAAATATACTCCTATATCAAACTATACAATTATTAGCCTATCCCAGCTCCTAATCTTGAAATTTAGGTGATGATGACAAATCCAACTTCTAGATCTGTACCTTACTGTATACCTGCACATGGCTGGCCATGTAGCTGACGTCTATAGTCACATCTATGGTGTCAAAACTTGTAATTTACAGCGATATAGATGTCAGAAGAAATAGAGACACAACAGAGATGCAGCACATCAACATACATAATACAGCTAGATGACTGATCAAGTCAGAGCAGGAGAAGAAAACACTGACGTCCTCCAGGATGAACTCGTGGAAATGCTAATGAACAATGTAGGTCGTGTACATTTCCATGGTGAAGAAACAAATTGCACATTGTTTCCGAGAGTTACAACACAAACCACATTACAATGGAAAGCACAAGAACCAGTATCTTGAAGATCAAAGACTAACAAATTAATTACACTTCAAAAATACAGAAAACAGATGTGAGATTGCTTGAGATACCTTGGCACTTTAAATGCGTCAAAGGAAGAGAAGGAGAAGAGGCAGGAACTGGAGCATTAGAGCTCTGCCTCTGTGCTATCAGCTGTTGATATCTATGTTGAGCCAATGTTCTCCTTCGCTGACACATCGGAGCAACTGGAGGGGCTCCATTTGCTCTTCTTTTAAGGGAAACATGGGCATGAATATTCGAAGCCTGAGGTGTTGCATCAACCTTTGAAATTGGAATGCCTTGACCTGGGTGTAGCAAATGTTACAAGCAAAAATCAGGAATCAGCATGTTTTGGCACTATAAAGGGCACGCCACCAAAGATGCAAATGACAGACATTGTCAATAAAATAACCAACAAAGAGAGTTCCTTAGAAAGGGTATGTGGCGTACCAGCATGATAGGGTAGTCCAGTAACATTATACTTAGCCGCTGAACCACCATGAGGCTGACCTAGACGACATCAGAACAATCTCTTCAGATGTTATGCAGAGGTCAGATCACTTTGAATACATAGAAAAACAAACTGGAGCATGTATCTGATATGAACAAAGTTAGCAGATACCCATAACCAAAGGGGGGTGAAGAAGTCCAGTGGGGTGCATGGTAGGTCCATGATCTCGAGACTGATATGAGTTACCTACAAAATTATTGCCATCGAAAAAAACAAAAAATGAGAAGAAAATGTAAACTCAAGCTGCACAATGTTCTGATCTCAAAGTTCCATGGATTCGCTTATGAGTAAATATCCAATATGGGATAGTGCAAGTATTTGCAAAGGTGCATTTTTTTCTTCTGGTTTTAGTGTATTCTGAAGAATCCACACACAATACACACCCCTGTTCAACATGGGTACGTCAAATCATATTAAAGATCCATCTAACACAAGCCTAATCTGCCTCAGTATTTCAGCAAGTCCAAATAGCTATAAATGAAGTTCAACCACTATGACTGATGGAAGCTATAGATCATCATCTGCCACATTATTTTTCCCAGCAGTGCCTAACCAAAATTTTCATGGAAGCTTAATATATTTTTGGCTTCTTTTTTTATCCGATAAACTCATTATCAAAAAAAGAAGATATGATATCCTTTTTTTAGCAAATAAGTACAAGTGCATGCCACAATAGTTCAACATGATTTACCCTTTCTAATTTGCTGGATGCCTCCCATCCCGGGAAGAACACCTTCTCGAGTAGCTTGAGAAATAACCCCATCATTAAGCTGGACACCTAGCCTCTTAGGAAATAGATTGCCAGGGGCAGGTTGGATGCCACTCCATCCCGCAATATGAGCACCCATTCTTTCCGGAAATAGGTTATTACCCCAAGGATGCGGAACATTAACCAAAGATTGCTGACCTGAAGATATTTGGTCATAACATTGTTACGTACCACAGTAAGTCAATAAGATTGCATTAGACAACTAGGCAATTTGTAGAATCCACAAGGACAAGAATACAAATATATGAGAGAAACTAAAAAAAGGTCATGCATGTAGCCATGAGGACATATGCCCTTTACTAGATTGTACGCTTCTCTTCATGATTTTCACTTCAAGCCCATAGACCTTATCATATTTCGCGTATTTCGCTTCATGAGCGAAGCCCTGCGCTTTAAGGAAGTATGCGCTTCAAACAATGACGCATAGAGTGATTCCAGCAAGAAGTGATCAAACTAAAATTTGAAGGAATTGGATTAATATATCCTTATCAAAAAAGGAGCTGAATTAATATAGAATAGTTCTATGTTGGGTGCAGAAATATTTATTTAAAATACAATATGACTATTATTTATCATAGTACTAAATTCGTATATGTTTCGTATTTTTTTAATTTATCTGTAAATTGTGTTCTTCACTTCAAGCCCAGACCTTGTGTATTTTTTTGATTTATCTGTAAATTGTGTTCTTCACTTCAAGCCCAGACCTTGTCACCTTTTGCACTCTTCGCTTTTAGAAACACTTGGCATAACACCAATTACCGGGAAAATGAATTACTTAAATCTCTAGAATCTTGTAGAGGAGTTGATACCATGTGAAGAGTATTTAAAAAAGAGAGATAATACTTCTTATCAAATCGATGATTGACAATATATCAGTCAAGTAAATTTCACCTGTAAAATTTCCTTAAAATGAGGTAAACGGACTGTCCATAGTCATGTTTGTTTGGTTAAGGATGCAAAAACATATCCTAGGATTGTCCTGGAAGCTGCCAACTTAGACCATATGACCCATGAATATCTTAGGAATTCTGACACGGTAAGCAGAAACGATCTCTTCTTGTTTTTGATAAACAGCTATTTCAGTTGTCATGCACATACTCTAAAATCCCTCGCCTCAAAATAAAATTAATCATCCTTGAAAAGAAGAGAAGGGGAGCCTTGGAGCAACGGTAAAGTTGTCTCCGTGTGACCTATAGGTTGCGGATTCGAGCTCTGAAATCAGCCACGAATGCTTACATTAAGGTAGAAAGACTACGTCACACCCCTTGGGGTGCGTCCCTTCCCCGTATCCTGCATGAACGCGGGATGCCTTGTGCAGCAGGCTGCTTATCCTAGAAAAGAAAGGTCATTGTCTACCGTAATGATAAATTTCTACTAAAGAAAATAGGATCAAGAAATCCAATCATAATCAACTGTCACCATAAGCTATAGTGGTAAAGTACGAAATGGATAACTTGATAACTGGTAAATTCAGGAAACAGAAATAGAAATTCATAAACACACCTAAATGGTCTTGCCTCACTCCGCTGCCACCATGACCGAGAATAAGAGGTTCCATGAAAGATTGGTTCCTGGATATGTTTGTGTAACAGTTACTCTGCTGCTTAATAGTTGGTTGAGCTGTTACCAAACCAGGTTGAGCAGATAAAGGAGCTGCTACCCAAACAGGTTGAGCAGATTCAGGAGCTGCCACTGTTCTAGCATATCCAAGATGAGGGGGTAATGTTGAACTGCTGCTAAATGGCAATGAAGGAGGAGGCAAACCACCCTGAACGCACTTGAAGGGACCAGGTTCAGAGAGTCTTAGATCAGCTTTACCAACAGCACCTAAGTTTGTGCTGTTAGAAGAATTAAGTCGCGTGTCTGGCGTTAAGTTAACACATGGAGGTGCACTTATTCTAGAGCCTGGAGCAAGCACAATTTCATTATTGTTTGAAGAGCAGGTTGAAACACCGAAATTCCTGGCTGAATTTGGCAAACCACCACTATCACAATTGATATTTGGAATACCACCAGGAACACCATGAGCTAAACTTGAGATATTTCTTTTCATTTGTTGGACATGAGAGTTGTTACTTTGTGACAAGACAGCTTCACCCAGTCTGCTGCTGACCTCTTTGGCACTGAATCTAAACTTTGATCTATTATCTATGTTACTTCCTGTTCCAAGGGTCAGAAAACTACCATCAATGTTTTCTGGGGAAGAAAAAGGAACAGGATTGGCCTTGACATCATTGTGAATTCCTATTCCACTAATACTTTTAGTAGTCTGCATGCTATACCCTATGTCAAAAGGAGTTCCACTTGCCTGCAAGCTATTTTGATTAATACCTGTGGCTTTCCCAGCCTTTTCAAAACATCCAGCTGCATTGCTTCGCATAGGCATAAAATTCATGCTGACCCCTGGATTTTGAATTCCCTTGGACAAGACAGCTTCATTCAAGAAACTATCGGAGGTCAGCATGTTGTTATTCATATTTGAATGGTATATCTCTGCTGCATTTCCCATGGAATTTGGCATTCCTGATGGAGCGGGAAAGCTGGGAGCAATATTTCTAATATTAGCCAAATTTGTTTCAAGCTGGTGATGATAGCTATAGAGATTCTTCAAATTGGCCATCTGAAAGTTGTTCATCTCATTAACATTTCCTGGAAGAGGACGGGCCGCTGGCGGAGATACAAAAGGGAAGGATGTGACATTAGCCCCTGAACTGAACCCACCTTGGACAACACCGTTATAATCAACAGCTCCACTTTGTCTGATGCTGAGGGCAAGATCATCAAAAGCATGAAATGAAGTAGGGTCTGGCAAGTTCTCTGGTTTGTCACATCCCATTGGATAACTTGGATCTGATCAATTAAATCAAAAGGCAAGCTTGACTTCTCCCATTCACATAACGACATCCACTTCATAAACTAGAGGAGACGACAAAGAGAAAGAAAAGCATAAAGCGATTATACTTAAATGCTCCACCAATTCTTCCTGACCAACGGCTACAACTATAATTGCACATAGATAGAAGCGAATTCAGGATTTGAACCTTATGAGTTTGAGTTCGGGATTCTACCACAACTCATTTGTTTTACTGGGTTCGAATCAATTATTTGTACATATCTTGTAAATTATTAAGAATTTATGCAGGGTCCGAGCCAAAGCTAACGGGTTTAGATGATCCCCTAGATTGAATTCTACATCCACCCATGCACATAGAAAAAAGAAGATCTTCTAAACTATTCTCGAGATTAGCTGATTGAACAAATTTTTCTATTGGGGTTGGGGGAGAGGTCCACTTTGGTGTCAAAGAACCTAGAGTATTTTGATGTGAGCAATTTCGAAGAGCCAACTTACTTCCATTGTAGAAGGGTAAAATCAATCACATTTGCTTCCAATTGGCTAAAAAATAAAACTAATGAAACAGATTCAACAAAATCAAAGTAATGCAATTACATCATAGTTGGAAGACCAATATGTGATACTATCACAAAATACTCGAGGAAAGCAAGTTTAACCATAATAATTTTTAACCATATAGATTCCACTGCTAATAAAGATGAGAACAATCACATTATCACCAGATTGGCACAGCAATAAAACAAGATGAACCGACTGTGAATACACAGAAAATGAAATTACATCAAAGTTCACAGTCGAAAGGCCGCAAAATGGGGACAAAATGCATAAAATACTAAAGAGATACCGCAGAATAAAGACTGCCCAATTCTTGAGCTGTCCTCATTGATCAAGACTGAATTAATTCTCCCTTATATATTTTTTTGATTGATCGCTATTCAACACTGAGATATACGCGAAGCAAGTTTCTGATATGCCAATCGCGGAAACTAAAGGCTAACTACTTAGAGCAGTAGACTACATGTAATGTGATCCCAACCCAGCCTCCAGGGACAAAAACAAATATAAATCACGAAGTTCTAGCATATCATCAAACGCCCAAATTACAACCAAAAAATAAAAGGACCCAGACGTACTAAAATCAACCTGTATGCATAACACACAAACTATTCTATTGCCTGCTCTTGGGCGTTATAAACCCTAGATTCCATCACACGGCACTCAAGAATAGTGAAACCTGGAAAATGGAGAAAAACAGACACCCATAAAATCCTCTTTGTTATTATGAGAACTCAATAACGGAAGGACAACCTTAATGAACAAACAACAAATACAAAAGTTGCAACTTGCAACAATCCAAAGAGTACAACTGACTCTGCACCATAAGGAACTGATAGCAACACTAATCTCCTTCATTAATCACAAACCCAACCCAACCAATTTTCTTTTTAAAAAAAAAAAATCAAATTAAAACAAAAGATTTATTCAAAAGTTAAGCAGATAGATGAAATCGATACGAGCTGGCCCATCGGTATAGAAGAATTCGTACCGGTGATGATTTGTATCTGATCGGAGAAATTTTCGAAAGTAAGAAATTAGAGAGAGAGTGAGGGGGTTTTTAGAAAGAGAGAGTGGTGGTAGGGTGTGGTGTTTGGGGTTTGAGGGTGGTATGTTTATGTGTGTGCGTTTTTGGCGCTTATAGGGGCTCTATATTAGAGTTTTTAAAGGCTTCGGTTGTGGGACCATTTTGTTGTTTTGCTCTATGACACGTGGACTCAAAAAAGCTTACCTTGTGGCTTGAACTTCATGCTGACGTGGTATCATTTTTTTTTTTGGTTTTCCACTATGATCCGGTATCCGGATTTGAGCCCGACTATATCCGGATTCGCGTCGCACAGGACCCCATTTGTGGGAAAGTGCTCCCCACCAAAAGAGATTTTTCATACGCAAGACTCGAAACCGAAACCTCTAGTTAAGGAAAGAAAAGTCTCATTCACCGTACCACATCCTCTGACCGTGGCATAATTTGATATAGTATGAGCTTTTCATCTTTCCAAGTTAAAATGAGAGGGTAGTTTTGGAGTTAGAAGCAAATTCGAATATAACATTGGCGTAATTAGAACGCGGACCTAGGTAATGGATCAATGCCGTTTAGACTGTCCATTGTTTTTAATTTAAGGCGTTAAATAAGTGAGTTGGAATAAATTGTAAATTAAAATTGACTGAATTAATAAACACTTTGATCATAACTCAGTTTAAAATTATCTTTGGTCAAAATGAACGAGTCAATTCGAGCTAAATAGTTGGTACTAACCCTAGAGTCTAGCTTAAATTCTTTTTTATCTCTTTATTTTTTCTTTTATAATTTGTTTACTTACTAACCAAACTAAGAAAGGCTTTAAGTTTGTTATCATGACTGTACTTAACCAGCCAAATTTTAAATACTTTATCTTCTATTTCAGAAAGAAAACCTTTTACTATTTGGGGAGTCAGATAAGATTATCTTTGACCATTTTTAAAAAAAAAATAATTTGATTGTTAATTATTGTGACTTATTGTACTTTTTATATGATTTCTAAACATATAAATTTTACTTCAAAAAAATTAGAAAATCTATATCCAAATTCACAACGAAAATTAGTCAATTTGACACACGCACTCCGAAAAGGTTTTAGGTTTTATGTTTTGATTAATCTTGTTATGAGTTGACTTAGGCACAATCTGAGCTAAACTGCCAAATTGACCTAAACTTTCAGACTGGCTAACTTGGAATAAGCTCAAATTGACCTTACATTGCATAAATGTCTCACCCAATCCGCTTAATTTTGAACAAGTTGGACAAATTATAATTTCATGAGCTGAATTTGAAAGCTTATTTTCGCTTCGTTCTAACAGAAGGGTCACTAGATATATCATATCGGTCAAATTAATAGTTGGGTAGTTACTTTGCTAGTGGCCTTTCGCATTATAACAATGGTTTAAAAGGAAGCAATTCTAGAGAAAGAAGGAGAAAATTCAAAAGGAAATAAGACAAACACAAAGACAAAGTCTTTGGTCATGGCCCTACTTCACAAAATAATTATTATCCATGGCACCGCACAAAGCGAGATTGAGAATTAGGACACTATTACTATATTTACAATGTCAGCACTGAGATGTCACCACCCTCGTGTCCATCCTACGTCCATTGTCAAGTCTTCGTTGCTAAGGGAAGTGGGGGTTGAGTGGATTATCAAAAGTATAGTGTAGATAACACCTTGTTTTTTCTAAGCGGTTAAATATCGCCGAGGTTTGATTTTTGGAAAACATTTCAAACAAGTGGTTTTACCGGAAATAGTTGATAGACTAAAAGGAAAAATTAGACAAGAAAGAAAGGTAGAGATTTCGCTTCAAACAGGAAAAAAGTAAAATAGAAAATCGTTAGGAATCTCAACAAATCCTGAACTTGAGACGTGTTTCTCTTTCTTCTCAACACAGGGAAAAGGGGACGAAAAAATTGAGACCCCACAAAACTTAGGTCCCAACTCTGAAAGTCCTGGTAGAGATTGCAATGAGACGGCAAATGATGTGGATGAATATAGTAAAAGCAATCTTGCGAGAGGAAAAAGGAATATTCATCAGAAAGCATAAATAAGAGAGAGCGTATGTGTTTAACTTGTAAGTAGTTACCTGAATGTCCAGAGAGACGTGCACACAAGTGGTTCAATTTACAAATCCATAAATGTCCAAGTTAACAGAAGCAAAATGCTAGATATCTACTAACATCCAAACAAACGACAAACTCAATGTGACCCCGGTCTGGGGAGGTTAGTGTGTACGCAGACCTTACCCGTACCTTGTGAAAGTAGAGAGAGGCTGTTAAAGATAGACCCTCGGCTTGATCTACTAACATGCATCCTGCAAAAACTTCCTTCAGGAACTTCTGTATCTCTTCTTGAACATCATTTCTCAATGTGTTAAAGAAATGGACTACACTCTAGAAAAAAGAAGAAAGATATACTGAATATAGAAAGAGAGCAAAATTGGATATCATATTGCTATTTGGCTCGAGTACCAAAGGCCTAACTTCGTCCCAAGACTATTATTAGCATCAAGAGCCTTCACGGCTAATTCTCAGAAGCCAGACTCTACTCTTCTTTTAGATACTGCTGGCGCTTACGGAAGAAAATGCAGCCCAAGGATGCCACAAGCCCCACGAGATAACCAGCTATAGCTCCATAAGTCACACAAATAGGCCATTCCTACATGAAAATACCAATTGTCCATGAATGAGAACAAACAACTTACTAAAACATTTTCCAATCCCATTGAGAGGTCCACAAAATAGAAAAACCAATCTTTTCAGAAGCGCATAACCAAAATATAAAAAGTATGTCCGCTGCCACTTCTAAAACCTAGGGAGAGAAAATACATAGTTTGGAGGAATAAGATTCAAGCACCAATGGAACCAGTGAGTCGCTAATAACCGTGGCCCTTTTAACTGGAAGAAAATGCAGATTAAATGATTAATCAAGCAAAGCTACATGCACCAGCTACTAGTTGGCACATCTAAGATACAAAAAATTACCAAGAGCTAACTAGAACTAAAACACAACTTGATATAACCAAATTTCTGACAAACTCTTGGTATAAAACTGCCTCCCTCTTTCATTTTTCGCCTTAACTGCTATTGTTTCCATTTACCTAACACATATAAATGATGTAAGATTTGATAAATTTTTTGAGCGAGGAGGAAAAACATAAATGGTATTTTGATGGAAGATGCACTCATTTTGAGGCATAATCAATTAGCTTTTATTTTTATTTATACAAACATACCATAAGCAAGAAAAAGAAATCAAATTCCATATCTCTGTAATGGATGTGTATACTCACATGACAAAAACACAACAGGAGGGCTTAACACCAAAAGGTGAAACCACGTGACTGAAAAACAGATGATTTTTGGGAGGGGTATCTTGGGAACTCCTTGAATCGGGATATAACACGAGCTGTTATAGTTTATTAATAATCTTAGCATGGCACATGGAGATCTTGTTCACAAAGCACACTTAAAGTGGTGCCCTTACTCGAGTGAAGAATTTTACAGATAGCAGTGCAATCTGATCTCGCCCCGGGAAAAGAGGCCACAGAGTGCCGACCTTTTCTCTTCTCTCTTTTTGATCACTTTATCTTTTGCATTCATATTGATATAGCGGGATTTAATACTTTATTAAGGTAAATGATCTATTAGCTTAGTCTCTCTAAAAACATCATTTAGCAGATTCTTAACACCTCTCATTTAAAGACATAGTTCGCTTCGAAGAGTCCAGAGCAACATAAACAGGTTTCCAGCAGGTGTGTGTGTGTGTTCCATAAGGGTCACTGATACTAATCTGGGCACCGATGAAGTGGGAACCCTCTCCAAGGAAGCATAAAAAGAATGAAAAGAAAACAGGACAAACAACTCCATATAACCCTCATGCTATCAAACAAATCCAAAGAGAGAATGCAAAAAAAGAGCTTCAATATTTGATTGATTTCTGTTCATATCCACTCCTAGAAAAACTCTATTTTCTTCTAACTAAATGCACCATCACGGATAATTAGGAATGCATATCAGATGCTTTGCCTGTGTATCCTACTTCTATATGTGCAAGGTTCATTAAGGTGTGCAAGGTTCATTAAGGTGTGCAAGGTTCATTGAGGTGGCTCAATTTTTCTTAAAATGAATTGAGAGAAGACTATTTTAAAAGGGAGTATAATATAAACAAGGGCATGCTGAGCAACTTCTGTATATCTTTCTATTGCCAGACTATCAAAAGATTGTACGGTGGATTACTGAAGCTTTAGTGAATGCAATTAAGGCATTTGAAATTCAAAAAATTTGCACCATAAAATGGACTACAATCTCTATATTGTGAACTTGAGTCCGCGACAATTAGGTAACATACCTGCCATGGGCTTTCCCAATCAAGTGGCATCGGCCAAGCACCAAACCACGCTCCAATAACAGCTCCATGAGCTGGTAGACAGATCATACAGTCTGTGGACCCATTTGTCCTGCAAGAACAAACATGCCAAATGAGCTCTACCACAGCTCTTAGATATAAAATATTAAATGCCCAAGGATGACGAAATGGAAATTACTTTGTTTTAGCAAATACACGGTGCCAATCAGTCCATGATGAGCCGAAAACACAAGCTGCTGGTACAAACTACCAAACCAACATTTTATTAAATTTACTTATCCCAGAAAAAAATAGAAAATAAATAAAACAGCTAAACACCATAGGAGAAAAAATGAACAAGGATAAAATATCAAAGCTACATCTCATCAATGTGTGATCTAAGTAGTCAAAGTATCCTATCATTTTGTCAGCTTTCTGAATGTGATAATTCCCAGGATTTCCCTGCTAACTTTTCTTTTCTTTTTTTCTCTTAAAGACTTCGACCATATTTTCTGTAACCATGAGATGAATCAACTAAACAGACTACAACTGTTGTAATATCCCCCTGGCTTATAAGCCAGAGAAATCTTTTCAAGCAGTAAATAGTAGGTCTTAGTAGTTAATACTTACAGTGAGCAGTGACATCAGAAGAGACCAATTAAGGGTCTTGGGAAAATACCTGTGATAAGACAGGATCAAAGACTGCTTAGCATTAAGAACTACAGCATTTCAGAAGCTATAACAAAGAGAAAGTAACAGAAAACCATTATAATTCGTATTAACATAATCCCAGTTGAGGTTGGACAGGACAGCACAAAGTGACTCCTAATCGACAAAAGCTCAGACTGGAATCCGGTGTGAGAAATAAAAGCGACTCAATAGAATGTCTTAATTATTAATCTCTGGCGTTTTTGTGAAACCCAAAGAGCACTTAACATGCCTGATGATCAGGCAATGACATTGTCATCACATCTATTTTCCCATCCAACCTCAACTATGGGTTCAATTCAGTATCCTTATAAATGACTCAAAGCACATGTACAGCATTACATACTCGAAACCAACAGGTGCTCCTAATATAGCAGCTCCCGCTGCATTTACTACGGCCCCTACAAACATGATATAACATAATTCACGCATATTAATAGATGAATCTTTGACAAATAATATTGATAATATGTCTCAAAACCGTGGAGGCAAGTTTAGTAAGGAGAACTTGTTTATAACTAAAACTAACCAGCAGGAAGCGCCAGCAGGCCTCGTCCTATAGCTTTGACGTACTGAGAGAAGCCAGAAATAATTCGAATCAAATTACAGTAAAAAGTGTGTAAAATGTAACTATTGAAATAAAATAAAAAAAAAAATCAATAAAAAGAAGTCGGAAATAGAATTAGGATTACAGAGCATTGGCTCCTATCGTGTCGAAGGTGACTGTAAAGAAGAATCACTATTGGAGCCAAAAACACCTGAAAAACTAAATTCGAATCAAAATAAGGAACATGTAAGAAAGAAAATAAGAAGGAATGAATGGGAAGTATATTATAATGCTTGCGGATTGAGAGAAACATACAGAAATCAGACGAAGCGTTTGCGATGGATGAGTGATGAGATCGACGGCGTAGATGTGTTCAGCTACCCAGAAAGCTAAACCTAACCCTACTCCACAGATCAGATGAAGAGTAAGAGCTTTCAATGGTGATACAGACAAAAATATCGCATTTCCACCTTTTGGATCATCCTGATGTTTCTTCTTCTTCATTTTGTCCATATTTTTCGTTCTTCGATTCTGGAAAACGAACCAAAAACCGTTTTGTTCTTAACTCCTTGGAATTTAAATCAGGAGAGTAATTTGGGCCTTGGGTACGGGCCAACAAAAGGAACTTATTTATTTCTGTTCGTTTTGTAGTTTTTAATAAGTATCTAGATTTTTCTTACAAATTATATACATTGCTCCTTAAAAGGCTCCCACCTCATCATTAGTGCCTTCAATTAAGGGATTTAATTACATTCTTTCTTTTTTTTCCCTTTCCTCTTCTCTCTCCTTTTTTTTACATCAAAAATCCCTTAAGCTACGTCAAAAATCTCCATCTTCTCTCTTCTCGCCATTGCTGGCAACTTTATATTATTAAAAATTAAAAAAATATTCAGAAATTGTATGATAATTGTATTATAGTTGTATTTGAATTGTATTAGATACATCAATCCTAAAACATAATTGTATCATACTTGTATCCCAATTGTATCTAACTTGTATTTGGTACATTAATACCCAAAATAATACCTGATACAATACTAATAAATCAATGAGTCAATTACTCAAATGGTCACTTAACTATCCCAAATTATCATCTAAAGTCACTTTTCTTTCGCTTGTAACAACAAAGTCACTGAACTATGTTTATTGCACTCAAAAGGTCACTCAACCAGATTTTCCAAATTTTGAATTGCCAAATACCTATTTTACCCTCTAAATTATAAACATTTATCTTCTTTTTATTTTTTTTAAACTTTTCAATATTACGATTTTCCTTTTTAATTTACACTATGGACTTACTTATAAAATAAATAAATATTATTTATAAAATATATATAAAAATAAAAAGTATTTAAGCATATAATATGCTGGAATAACAAAATAATGAGCATAGTAAAAATATTAATTAGAATAATTTGTTAGTAATAATAATTTTAGTATTAATAACAAAAATTCAAAAAATTATTTACAATATAGAATGAAATAAAATGATGCAGGGGTAAGGCATGCGTACACACTACCCTCCCCAGACCCCATTTATGGGATCAAACTGGATTTTTTGTTGTTGTTGTTGTTGTTATTGTTGTAGAATGAAAGAAAACAAATATTATAAAATATATTTTCCATGCACGTAATATAAAATAATTATTTAAATAAAGATGTTTTATAATATATATTATATATATTCTTGAAAATTATGCTCAATTATATTATATATATTCCATGCACGACTTAACATAGCATATTTTACCCTATACAGATAGTCCCTCTGCTTTTCGGCGACATAACTTTGTGTCGTCGGAAAGCTGGTAGAAACAGAATAATATAATTGAGCATAATTTTCAGGAATATATAATGTATATTATAAAAATTCCTTTTATTTAAATAATTATTTTTATATTACGTGCATGGAATATATATTTTACAACCTTCATTTTCTTTCATTCTAAATTGTGTAAATAAATTTTTTAATTTTTGTTGTTAATACTACAAAGTTTAAAAAAAATAAAAAGAAGATAAATGTTTATAATTTAGAGGGTAAAATAGGTATTTGGCAATCTAAAATTTGGAAAATCTAGTTGAGTGACTTTCTGAGTGCAATATGCATAGTCCAGTAATTTTGTTGTTACAAACGAAAGAAAAGTGACTTTAGGAGATACTTTGGGATTGTTGAGTGACCATTTAAGTAATTGACTCATAAATCAATATAAAATTATCATATATTTGTGATACAAACTGTGAAATTCGTCATGAACTAACAATTGCTCGTAATAATATACAATGAATATACAATTACCATACAATTGTAATACAATTTCTGCAGCAACTATGATACATATACAATTATAATACAATCACGATACATTTCTGAAAAATTGTGATACACTTATAATCTTCATCTTCTTCAAGTTTCAATCACAACTCTACACTAACAATCTAATATAATCGTATTATAATTGTATTAGTATTGTATCGAGTATTGCTTTGGGTATTAATGTATCATATACAAGTCACATACAATAAAGATTATAGAAAGAAAGAAACCAAGATTCAAAACTTACCCACAATTTGATTCTAGCAATATTCCGAATTTTGTCTACAGTGTATGAATAAGAAATAGAGATTTCGGGTGAATAGTAAAATTTAAGAAAGAGGAAAATTGGGTCTGAAAATCTTTGGAAAAGGAAATGAACCGGAAATTTGGGTGATATAAGTATAAAAGAGAGGTTTTGGGTGATTATTAAGAAAGAGAGAAAAAAGAAACAGAATCTTAAATGTAGGGAAGGGTTTTCGGAAATGGGTTAAAATTAAGGCATCTTAATTTTTTTCCTTTTTAAGGCCATGTATATAACTTGTAAATATAGATATACAAAGTAATTAATAAGGAACTTAAATAAAGGTGGTAAATAGGTTTCTATTATAGTATACCGTCTATAGGCACCCAAATTTTAATAGCCCATTTTTTTGCCTATTGAAATAAGGGATTTTTATCTTGAGAAAATGGCATGGTATGACACATAAGGAGAATTGGTAATTTGTTGGCCTTATATTAGGTTTAGCAATAGTAGCCCAAAAAAATTGGCACCCAATAACCAAAGTTATTTTCCTTAAAAATAGCAATAAGAACCGCTCTTTGTCTCTTCTCTCCGTTACTTCGTTGTGCATCATGTAAGGCAACCGTTTTTTCACTACTGCATTCCGTATCTTCTTCCATAAATGGTGCCTTATTCTCTTTAGTTTTCTTTATTAAAGAATCTATCTTCTCTCCTCTCTTCTAATTGGTTGCAACCATCCTTCTGAAAATTATGTTTTATTTCCTTTTAAAAGTATCTAAAATTTTCCAGAATCTCTTTATATCCTTTTCTGATATTTTATTTTTTTCTTCAATGTAGCAATGTATATAAGTTTAGAGCAATTTCTAAGACATAAAAATAATAAATATAACCGTGGGAGTAAATAAATTTTTGATACACAAAGATGGAAATAATTTTTTAATATACACAAAGAAGGAAAATAAATTTATGATATATATATTTGGTACACACATTATTTGATATGTTATACAATGTGATATACAAATAATATAATTTTTTTATTATGATATACATTAGTATAGAGATAACAGTAAATTTTGAATAACTATATTTATAAATTCATAGTTTGGATATACAAAGAAGGAAAATAAAATTTAATATTCATTTGATATACACAAAGAGCGACAATAAAATTGTGAATACATTTCGCAAATAATCACCAATACGTATTTTGGCTGTTATATATCAGTGCGTATATCACACAAGATTTTTATTGATATATATAGACATATATATCACATTGCATGTCAGTGTATATCACACAATATTTTCATTGATATACATAGACATGTATATAAATATGCATGATATACATGAAATAAACAGATATATATATATATATTGATATATCAGTTGATATACACTGAGATCTGTATTCACCCAAATTCGATAGTTCAAAAAACTTGGAATGTGTATAGTCACCCAAATTCATTCCTCTTTCGATGCAAAACAGAATATTTCTTTTCTAGACAATTTTTTTGTGCAAATTTGTAGAAAGTTGGCCTGATTTCTTCCATTAATGCTAAGTGAGAATGAAAAATTTTTGTGACAACTTCGAAAACGGGCGACGAGAATTCAGTTTCATGGTTGATTCATTCTTTGGGCATTTATTTATGCCAATTGCTCTAAAAATTTCTGGTGTCAAGAGAGAGAACGAGGAGATATGGAGAAGAGAGAGAGAGAGAGAGAGAGAGAGAGAGAGAGAGAGAGAGAGAGAGAGAGAGAGAGAGTAATTACGGGGAGAAGGTCTAACCTATTTTATTATACAAAATTGATTTTTTTAATTAAAACACAAATGCAGGCCATAAGATGCCTATAATAATAAGTTGGGCTTTTTTATGCCATTTAGTCTAGGTTGTCATGCAATGCCAAAACCCCTCTTATCTTCCTATACACTATTTGAAAGGCAAAATACCTTATCACCCACCTAGAGTTACAGCCTTAAACTATTCGTGGTCTTAATTACCCCCTCAACTAGGCCTTTTGAGAGTCATTACCCCTAGATGCTGATGTGGCAAATTGTGTGGATCCACTCGCATGCCACGTGGATTTTTCTTGTATATGTGGCATTTTTTCGAAAAATAAAATATATTTTTACCCTTTTAAGTATGTACGTGGATTTTTCCTGTATATGTGGGGTTTTTTCATAAAAAATAAAATATACTTTTACCTTTTTAAGTTTGTTACTTTTTTAGATACATTTTTTCGAATAAAATTTATAATAAAACTTGGATAGAGCTACATTATTTAGGATGAATATTTTATTTGGCTAAAATAATAAATTTTTAGTTAATCTTTTTTTGAATTTGACCTGAAAATAAAGATCTATACAATTGAAATAAATAGTCAATTCATCTAAAAAGTTATAAAAATACATGTTTTCAAATTAATTATTTTGTCTATAATTTTTATATAGCTCTACATTTTTTTATATACTTTTTTTACAGATTTTACCAGAAAAAAGTAAAAATACACAGTTGAAATAAATAATTGTTGTATCAAAAGAAGAAATAAAAAGAGAGTACAATTGCAAAAAATAACTTACTCTATGGATACATTTTTAAAGCAATAAAAAATAAGGGCAGCCCAGTGCACTAAGATCCCGCTATGCGCGGGGTCCGGGAAAGGGTCGGACCACAAGGGTCTATCGTACGCAGCCTTACCCTGCATTGCTGCAATAAGTACTTTTTTAGAGCAACAAGTATATTAGAAATAATAAGTTATTTCTTGCAATTGTTCACTCTTTTTATTTCTTCTTTGATGCAATGACTATTTATTTCAACTGCGTATTTTACTTTTTCAAGTAAAATATGTAAAAAGTATATTTTTAGAACACCATAATTTAGATTTATATAAAATATTATAGCCAAAATAATTAATTTCAAACTATGTATTTTTATAAATGTTTAGATGCCTTGACTAGTTATTTCAATTGTATAAATCTTTGTTTTCAGGTCAAATTCAAAAAAATATTAACTAAACTTTATTATTTTTAGCCAAATTAAAAAAAAATT